ACTAGGTTACCTCAACGGGGATATGCATTTCCCCAACAATAAGAATATCATATTTCTTTTTGACAGCAGCAAGAGGGAATTCAAATCCTGCAATAGTAATAGTTGAAATTTTTCCGATAGAATTGATACTATAAACTTGAGGTTGTTTCTTCGGAAAGTGTACCCTATGGTCATTACCCTTAACATGAAAAGTGACATTGCCTTTGTTGCAATCAATAACAGCCCTTGCAATATTCAAAAAGGGTCTACCAAGGATAATCGACATATTGTCGTCCTCAGGAATATCAAGAATAACAAAGTCCGTTAAGATAGTAACGTTCGAAACCACAACAGGCACATCCTCACAAATACCGATGGGTATAGTAGTTGATTTATCAGCCATTTGCAAATAATTTTCAGTAGGTGTCAACTTATTCAATTCAAGTCTACGATAGAAAGAGAAAGGCATAACACTGACACCGACTCCAAGATCACATAAATCAGTTTTAACATAGCTTTTTTTAATGGAGCATGGTATAGTTGGTATTCCTGGATCTCCAAGTTTCTTTAGTATTCCATCCTTAAAAGTATAATAAGCAAGCATGGTGGAAATTTCAGCTTCCGGTATTTTTTTTTATTTGTAACAATCTCTTTCATATACTTAGCATAAGGAGGCATTTTAAGCATATCAATCATGAACGCCTGCGCGGTAATAATAAACAAATTGATTATAAAAATGCATGCATCAAAGTCATACAAAAATTCGGCATGACCTTTCCTAAAAATAGGACATATAGAGTTTGCCCGAAATTCGTCGAAACATAAATAGATTGATATTTCGACAAAACATAGGCAACTCAAGCACAATTTGGGGGCAACTCATGCCACACACACAATTTTCATCATATCGCACACATACACATATTTCCATTCTTGCAAAAGCACACATTTTTAATCACCTATCTCGAGATCGAGCACGGTGATGATGATGTCGATCACGTCGCCACACACCTAAGGAATGATCAAAAGTGGTCAAAGCTTACTTCTTGACATGGCTAGATCCAGTTAGGGAGGTACATAGGTCACTTCTTTAAATGGGTAGATCTACCTAGCTAGTTGGGGGAGGGTATGACTTTAACTAATGGAGGGGGAGGAAAAAGAGAAAGGAGTTGTATTAATGGAGGTGGTGTAGTTAGCTAGGAGCAATAAAGAGAGAGAAAGAGAGGTAAAAGAAAGAGGGTAATGGTGGGGAGAAGTAGCGAGGAAGAAGCAAAGTGAGGGAGAGAAAAGGTGGGAGCTAGGGGAAAGTGAACAGAAGAGATGATGGGGGAGGGGGGAGGAAAAGGTGGTGGCTGCGCTTTAGCAGTAGCGCGGGAACAGAAAACGTGATGCTGCTAAAATTGTAGCAGTAGCGCGCTCCTGGGAGACGCGCACGCGCTACTACTAAGTGGGGCCTGCCATGTGGCCAAGTTCAAACTTAGCAATAGCGCCCTACCCTAAAAACGCGCTACTACTATTTTCTTAGCAGTAACGTGGTTTTTGCAAGGGCGCTACTACTATACCTAGCCTGGCGACAATAGTGTGACAATTATAGTAGTAGCACCTTTTCTTCTTGTCGCGCTACTGCTATGTTGATAGCAGCAGCGCCCTTTGTGACCACGTGCTACTGGTACTTAGCAGTAGCGCCTCATTTTAGCTAGCGCTATTGATAAGCTTCTGTGTATAAGGTTTTCCCTAGTAGCGTCTCTTCATCGCGCTGAGCGACGAGCTCCTCCGCCTCCCTCTTGACCGATGGCAGCGGTGTGCACGAGCTGCTCGCGCCGGAGGAGCTGCCCTCGCCAGAGAGCCGAGCTGTCACCGGTCGTACTCCTCTGCCTCGCGACGGCGGCGGCTCAAGGCCCCGGTTCGTGTACCGCCGGGCGGACCGCTTCCTCGCCGCGTCGGCGGCGGTGTAGTGATTCCGCTCGGGGTCCTCGCCTTCGCCGGCTCCACGGCCGGGGCTCCACATCACGCGCCACATGGTGGCGGATCGGCATTAGCAGCGTCGGGCGGTGGATTTGAGTTGCCGGCCGCAAGAAATCAAAGAGAAAAAGGGGGATTGCGTCGGCGGGGGAATAGGGTTCCGCCCCATATAGTGAACACAGACCCGTAGATATACTACTTGGAAGGTGTTTTTCTGAACCGCTATAAACGCTTTATGGGGCGGTACGGGTCTGGTATGACCTAGAAAGCAGATCAAACCTATATAGTCGCCGGAATTATACGGCCGGACCGCTTATAAAAGATCCGCCGGAGATGCTCAAAATGCCGTAAAGTTTCGTGTCCTGTAGAGCCATGGCTTTCCGTTGCTGCGATGACCTGTAAAGTAGCATCTGCGGCAAGAATGAGCGCGTGTAGAGCATCGGATGACTTTGCCTTGTGCCGCTGCTTCTCGCTTTCTTTAATCAGTTCGGTCTGGCCGCGGATCCCGTGAAGGCGATGATTCCCTGGCCGTCATGGTCCTAGGCCCCAAGGAAACGCCGCAAGGAGCCAAAGTTTTGTTCCCAGATTTGTGTGGAGAGCATGGTCATCTGCGATGTCGTACGCCCGGAGATTCGAATTGAATATCTACACGTCTCAAAAGGGTCAGAGGGGATCAGGGGAAATTTACACGTCCCGAAAAAGGAAATCCACATATCTATACGTTTGTGTTGTTTACGCAAACTAACATGTGATTGGATAGTTAGGAGGATAGTGGTATTCTCAGCCCATTAGGGCTTCTAGTGCTCACATTTATTTCTGAATTTATTTTAAGATTTCCGACGATGCATGTTTAATGAGGAAGACGTTCATGTCGACAACGAGACGCCTACGATGACTTCGTAGAATCTCAAGATGATATATCATCTCAGTCTCTCGGAGGTGCTCATAAAGATAGGGTGAGGGTGTGCGTGCGCACATTCATAGGGGTGAGTGTAAGCGCATATATATGGGTGCTTTGCGTTTGTACCATGTTTTAAAAAAAATTTCTAGATGTTGTATGCATCTTCACCTCGTACCTTTTTGTGTTAGGTTTTCGTATACTATCGGAAATCCCTGTACATTTTGGGCCATTAAAAATGTTGCACTCTCCTTGTAGTGGTCTTCGATGAAGACACATCACCAACGCGTGGACTTCGGTGTCTTTTTCTCTCTCTTTACACCCTTCATGTTTCAGCATCTCACTCTCTTACATTCTCTCGAGCTCTCTCTCATAGTTTCATGTCTGCGCTATCGGCCGTTCACCCACCTCCTCTCCCTCGGCTTCTTTCCCTTTGTGAGTTCTAGCGCAAGCACGATATATGCCCCAACCAGGGCCTTGGTGTTGGTGCCGCCTTTTGTTTTTGCCTCCACATGTGACGGCAATTAACATCGGTAGTGCCTGGTATAGTTGCTAGTGGTGTGGAGCGTACATGATGTGCAACCGCATGCCACCATAGGGCAGGAAGGTAGGGGCACAACCATCGAAGGGAGATTGAGTTAAAGGGCACATGTTGCAATGGCAGTACTAGCTAGGCAACGTGTGCGCGTATAACAAGGACATGAGAGGAAAGTCGGGGTGAAACCATACATCCATCGAAACTCGTAGATGGACGACATCACAAGTTGGTCTGTGGGTAGACTCAACGGCACCATCGAGGGGCTACGGTAGATTAGTTGGTTTATTTATTGTACACATTTGGGGATTTTCTTTCTTTAATTAGCTTATTGTGTTTTTGCGAATATTTCAAATTAGCTTGATAGATGGGATAAATGGATAGCTTGGAGCGGCTTGGCGAGAATGGAGAGGAGGTGGGGGTTATATATATAAAGAATAGCGTGACATATGGATATAACGGGAAGGTAAAACTTTTTTTTCTAACAAGCCTTGGTTTTCTTTATTCCTTATCAAAGATTACATCCTTTATAAGCGACTGCATGAGAAAACTAGGGGTTTAATTGACCCACGCACAAATATTTAAGTATACTAAAAAATATCTATCTCATACGCTGCAACATCTACTTTGCTGGGGCATAATAACTTACAAACGTCGTCAAGGAAACTTGCATGCAACATGCAGTCATGAAAAATTGCTGAACTTGCAGTGGCAGAAAACCCCCTGAGTTATGAGTCGAGATCACCTGCTTACTATCAGACTAAAGAATAGCTTTGAGAAGAAATTCCACAAAAAGAAATGAGAAGAAGAAAAAGAAAGAAATCGTGGTCGAATTGGGCCTCGGTCCTATCTATCTACGCAAATACAAAGCCACAAACTGGGCAACTGGATTCGTGGCAACACAAAACCAAGGGCGTAGCGACTACCGTCTATTCTTCACGGACGCTGCTATGCGGTCCCACATGTCATCCTCGGATGGCCATCTCCCTTCTCCACTTATAAAATGTTGGCACGCTCTCGCCCCTCGTCTCCCTCCCTCCTCTCCATCGTCTTCTTCCCAGCCTCACCTACTGCTACTCTTTCTCTCTCCACCCAAAACTGAATCCCCAAAGCGCCAGCGACAGAATCACGCGACGACGCGAATCTTCGTCCCGTAAACCCTAGCGCGGTCTACCCTCCTCAGCCCGGAGCCGTCTCCGTCGCCTCGCCCACCGGATTCCCCGACGAGGTAACCCGCTCGACCCCCCAACGGAACCCTAGGAAATTTGGTTGTTGTTCCATCGAGATTGATCGAATTGGCGGGCTATTCAGGGTTTTGGGAGGGTGGTGCGCCGCCCCTGCCGTCCGGGGATAGCCTGCGCGTCTCGATCTCGGGGGAGCTAGGGTTTTGTGATCTGAGGCCTCGAGGTCAGCGGCGTCGCCCTGGTTCTGATGAGAATTGGCAGTCTAATGCTCAGATTGGCCGCCGGCGACGACGAGAGGAGCAGCTTCGTTGGCAGCGGCGGCGGAGGCCTCAGGTTCACCGCTCCCAAGGTCCGTACACGGGACAAGGGCGCCCCTATATCCCTCTAAGTCCAGAGGGTTGCTGGTGTTGAGACGTGGAGCCTTCGCTGAAGAAACTGGGGAATGACGAGGATCTTCGTGCAGCGTGGGCCCGGTGGCTCCTCGTCCAACTCGGCTCGTTCGGGCTCACAGGCACTGCAGCAGCAACAGCAGCAGCAGCAGAACCAGCCAGCAGCAGCTGCCCGGGAGGAGGAGCTTACGGTGCAGCCGCAGCCACTGGAGCTCTTGGCTTCAGGTGATACGACTGAGCATCTACTTGAGGGTGGCGAAAGTAGTAGCAATGATCCTTCAAGGCTGGTTGAAACTGTGTCTGAGAGCTCAAGTCATGTGGAAGAGGGATCTGAGAGAGAGAAACCCCCCAAGGATGACTCCAATGTGACCGATCCCCCTTTCTTGATGGAGCTGTCAGGACTCCAGCTTTCGGATCAGTTTGAGCAGGCGAATCCTGTGCAGTCAGGCACTGTGCCATCGCAGATAACCGGCGCAGCATCACACCCACCGCCTCCTCCGGCTCCACCACCAAAACCATCATCATCTGCTAATAATGGGTTGAGGAGAATGGGATCTGGAAGCTCAAATGGTGTGCGGATTGGATCTTCAAGAAGGCCAACTGCTTGGCCACCAGTGGCAGCTTGGACATCTGCTTCGGGTTCTCGCCCTTCTTCCCCTAGGTCACTTGCTGATTGTGAAGGGTACAATAGTGCAGATGAGCAAGGTGCCTGTTACACCTCTAGCTATGATGATTCGGTATGATCTCTTGTCTGGTTCTGTTTTGCGTGGACTTTAATTTTGGATCTTAAGCATATAGTTAGTATAGTTAGTTTATGTACTACATCAACATTGATCATATAAAGATAATGGCGTAGATGTATTGGATTCCTTGCAACTGAATGGTGCACTTTTGTGGGGCTGGGTTTAGTTAGGAGTATGAATAATAGATGATTCCTTTAATTGCTTATTATGATCAGTAAGTAGATATGCCTAAATAATCCTGGTCTATGAAATCTCAATGTCTCCTGCTTATATTTGCTAGTGGCTACTTCTCTACGCACATTGAATGGTGCACTTTCATGGAGCTGTTTTTAGTTAGGAGTATGGTTAATTGCTTTAATTGCTTATTATGACTAGTAAGTAGATATGCCTATATAATCCTGGTCTATAATATTTCAATGTCTCTTGCTTATATTTGTTAGTGGCTGTTTTGCTACGTACACTGAATGGTGCACTTGTGCGCAGCTGTTTTTAGTTAAGAGTATAATAATAGATGATTGCTTTGATTGCTTATTCTGATTAGTAAGTAGATATGCCTTTCTAATCCTGGTCCATAAAATGTCATTGTCTCTTGATTATATTTATTAGTGTCTGATTTCTACGTACAGGGTGAGTAAGTATAATTTTGTACTGGTCCTGATGTATTTTATTTCCCTCAGGAAAGGGAGCATATGTTCGAACATGACCTAAGGCGAGTGAAAGGGTTTGAAATAAGAAAGATGGCAGCAGATGGGAATTGCCTGTTCAGAGCAGTTGCTGATCAAGTTTATGGCGATCCAGAAACTTATGATATGGCTAGGCAGATGTGTGTTGACTATATGGTAGGTTGCATATTTTCATCTGAGTAGTAATTTTTCCAGAGTTGAGTTTGTGTTTTCAAGACAATCATTTATTGCCAGTGAGTAGAGTAATAGCACTTACCCCTACACTTTTAATTCATTAACTCAATTCACAAGCTTTGGCTATTCATTATTTTAGCATATTATTTCCTTGTCTCCTTGTTCATGCCACTTTGCTAGGTTTACAATAATCTAGACGTATTTTTTTCTTGAACACGTGCTAAAATGTGTGTTGTTTGTATAAGGAGAACACCAAGAAGGCATGAACTTACAAGGGTAAACCGGCAAAATCTAGAAGAACAAAAAGTTCTAAGCTTACCAAAAACGTAGATGCTACCTAGACGTAAATGATATTTGCTGGATAGTATGTAGTTTAACTTAACCTAGTTCCAGTCTTCTAGTTGATGACTGGTATAGGTTGCTGCCTGGCTGATTGGTGATAGTGAGCCGTCTATTAAGCAAGATAGCTTCAGAGGCAGCACCCAGTAACTCAGGCAGCACCTTGTTAAAAACACTTGCAGCCCTTCCCGTCAAAACTTGTTGCTACTTTACTCTTTTTGGTATTTTTTTTGGAAGAATATCATCAAATACTGAATGTGCCATAATAACGCAAAATTCTGCCAATTTCATTGTGAATCAACTGTGCGATTGAATATCAATGTATGGCATATTGCTGATTGACAATTTTCTTATCTGCCTGCAGGAATGTATCTGATTATATATTATTTTAGATTGTTTGCAGTTTTTGCATCATTTACCCACTCACCTTTATTTAGCAATGTGCCCTGTGGTTTACAGCATAATTTTTTAGTTACACTACTGCCAATGTGGCCACCACTTCCACAGTTAGCTTTCCTAGCAAAATGCTCTACAGTATGGTATTATTTGGTAATTCAGTGTAAGCAGGTGAAAGCATGCGCAAACTACGTGGCTTCTTTGTGCTTGGGACATAGCATAATACATGGAATAAAACTGTTATTACTTCATCTGGTTTAACGTACTTGTCATTTTATTAGCTTCATGCATGTAAAACAAGAGGATTTAATACTTCTTTAACTTTTGAGTTATCGGCATAGTTAACCCCAAGGACTTTGTACCCATTTACGTAGGTCATTAATATGGGCATTTTATAAAAATGTTCACCCAGAAGCCCAAAATTACATCTATTTGCAAACTGATGCAAACTTCCAAATTTCTTACCTATTTTGGACTGGCGTAGTTAATACTCAGTAGCAAGGCAATTGAAGTGCTCATTGTGTTTTTCTTTTTTCACTCCAGGAAAGAGAGCGGGATCATTTTTCTCAGTTCATGACGGAGGGCTTTACACCATATTGTAAAAGGAAAAGAAAAGACAAGGTAGGGTTTTACATGCCTGGTATGCTTGCTTAAAATGGGTAGGCAAATCATTACTCACATATTTGTTTGTCCCTCATTTGTACAAGATGACTTCCAAGATTAGAATGCCTTTTCCAATTGAATTAATTATTTTATCGACTCCTGTTTGATTTTATACGTCATTCATGTTCCCCCGCACAAGCATTTTCCACCTGTCTAGATCTCGTACTCCTGCAGAGACTTATTTAAAATGTGCTATTTATTCTGTATTTGGTAGTATATGTGCTTTCATATGGGGAGGCAATGAGGCATGCACTTCTCCCTACTTCTTGACCTGTTCTACTGCACACATTTTTTTTTGTACAGCAATACTGCATCAATGTATATAGGGTATGTTTGGTTTACAACCAATACGAGACACACCAATTTTTTGGCTTGCCCGTAAGATTTGGCTGTTGCTTGGACGGATGCCAAAATTTTGGTTCGCCAAAGCCCGCCCTCAAGTTCCCGTGTAATTTTTGCCAAGGCATGGGCGCACCGATGGCGTGCAAAACTCCTCTCGCCAAAAAGTTGGCAGCCCAGCTCACCTGCTCTACGTATGTGGGGCCTCCTTCTGTACCATAATATTAGAGCAATTAGTGTGACAGATTAACGGGATGAGTACACGCTGACGGAAGCAAGCGCGTCACGTTTCATCTAGCGGCCGTTTGAATAGCGCATGTTTTTAGTTCCGTTCATGCAGCTGCGCAACTAATCCTACTTAACCATGTCTAATAGCAGCTCATACTAGTCTCAGTTTCCATTTCTGTTGGCTCATCATAAAAATTGAATCGGTATCGGACTAAGCAATAATTAATACAAGTTCTCAAAGTATTTGTGAACTTAGTTGGCTCCAAAAAATTGGCAGGTGCAATGGCTATAATCCAAATAACAGTGATTTACCAAATTTTCTGTCCTGCCAAAATTTTGGCTGGGGCTCAAACCAAACACACCCATAGTCAGGAGCTGCCTTCAAATCAAATACAAAAAAGGAGTCATGTGATACAAGGAAAAAGTTAGCACCTTAGCTTCTTTATGATTGCAATGGATTTTATGTTGATTGGTTACCTGATTTTCTAGGTATATGGCAATAACATTGAGATCCAGGCATTTGCTGAGATGTACAATCGTCCAATTCACATATATTCATACAGTACAGGTAAATTTTGGTCTAGCATTTTAACCCTGCTTCTTTGTAACCTCAGCTCTCTCACTCTCAGTCTCATATCGGTTTGCTCTTGTTGCAGAGCCTATTAACATTTTTCAGGGAAGTTATAACACAGATGTTCCTCCGGTTAGGTTAAGTTACCATCACGGTAACCATTATAATTCAGTTGTTGATCCTCGTCGGCTGACAGTTGGGGCAGGCCTTGGATTTAGCTCCCTTAGAGGGGTAAGCCTTCGGAAACTTCCTTGTCGGGCATGATTCTTGGTGGTTATTATTTCCCTATTAACCATTTTGTAATGGATGGTTTTGTGAACTGTTTGTGTTAAATAAACTTCCACTTGTGTGTATAGACCAACAGTGTTGACAGAGACCAAGTGAAGGCTGCAATAAAAGCTCAGCAAGATCAGCAGATTGAGAACGTGAGTTGTCTACTTTCTGTGTTCTTACTTTCCATCAAAGCATGTTTGTAAGTAAACAGGTGAAATCATCAAATGGCGTGGGCTTGATGCTTGTGTTTGTGCAATTTTAGGCACTTTTGGCTGAAGGGCGACTCTACTCTGATCTGGAGTTAACTGAGAAGGAAATAGAGCGGATGGTGATGGAGGCCTCTCGGGCAGAGTATCTGAACCAGCAGCAAGTTAACTTCAGAGAGTCATCAAGGTCAGGGGCAGAGCCATCTTCCTCCGCCGCAAGTAAGCATCCTTCTCTTGTTGTTTGAGGAAATCTATAGTGTTCCATTGATCGGTTGTTTGCCTGAAACTGGGATGCTTTCGTGCTCTGTAGTTAGTGGATCATCTGGTTCGGCAGCGGATAGAGGCAGTGAGAATTGTTTCGTACTCCCAGACACGGTGCTGACTCGCAGCATGCAGTTGCTTCTGGCAATGGGCTTTAGTTACATGCAAGTGATGGAAGCCTACAGTATATTCGGAGAGGACATGGACTCGATGATCTGCTACCTGGTGGAGATGGGAGGCACCGGAGCCTCCGCAGGCGGCAGCAACCGCCGGAAAGGGAAGGCTGCTGAGTGATGTGTGCACCTTTCTAGAGGCGACTGAGGATCGAAGTTATCAGGCGTAACTTTCAGGACTACATACAAAATAACGATAGCCTCTGTGAGTTAAGAAGACATCGATGTTGTGCTGCCATGTTGGGGAATATATAATAAATAATGAATAAAAGGTACTCTCAAGAGACTTTCTATTCGATCTGGTGTTTGAATGGTGTCTGTTGTAGTACGTACTTTTGATCTGTTGAGTCAAGCTGCTCCCTTGTGACCATTGTGGTGCTCACCTGTGATTATGTCTGTCTAGTTTTGTAAAGCTGTGCAACATGTCTCAGTGCACTTGCAAAACGAGCCATGCCCAACACTTGCAGAATGAGGCATGCTTTGAGCTGTTGAGCAGCTTAAAATGAAGAATCGTTTTGGGCAACTAGATTTCACATGGTCATGAGATTATAGGGTAGGAAAACACGTTCAGAATCACAGAAGTTTGTAGGATGGACCGTGTGGTAGAGCAATGACGTGTATTCGAATAAACCAGGGCCGATCCTTTCCAAATTAGTTCTCCCCCTTTCTCTCGACCCTTCTCCTCTCTTCTCCTTGAGAGTCTCCCGTGAGCTCGGGCAAGGCCCGGATCTGCGCCACCGGTGTTGCTGGCCGGAGTGGAGATAGTAGTTTAGGTTTAGCTCCACTTTGGTGGTGTTTGGCCTTGTGCTAGTTTGGTGTCATGCCGCTAGGGTGAGCTAGCGAGCTCCATGGTGGAGGAATGGAGGAGGAGACGAATCTGGCAAAGCCCTTCTAAATAAGCTCGCTAAGGCCCTTAGGAGAGACGATGCGAAGGGCCTCCCGTTTCCTCCATGCCGTTGAGGTGGCGGACGAAGAAGCAGTGGGGATCCTTGTTTCGTTTGTCTCGTGGCGGGTTTGCCTCGTCAGATCCCAGCTTCCGACGAGGTTGGCGTCGATCCCTGACTTGTGGGAGGTTCTTTGGCTCGTCAGAGCTGTCGAGCGGCGAACATGCTGTTGGGCTTCGTGTGTATCATCAGCGGTGGTTATGGGGAGGCTAAGGCTCCAGTCCTCGCCGACGAGCCGCTGATTCCTATGGCCGTAGGGCGTCCCTCTTTCTTCCTCCCGACCATGTTGCCAAAGGGGAGGCAGCGCAGCTTCGGTTTGGTGTCCATGGTGTCCGCTGTGGAGGGCTCGACGGACCAAGTGGTCTCGTCCCCGGCGCCGGCGAGTTCAGTGTTGTTCTCAAGCTGTTTTGAACCCAATCATATTTCCTGTTCTCTGTTTGGGGTCCTCTTTGCAAAAGTCAAGGACTTGGTTGTATTTTCCATTTTCTTTTGGATATTGATGTAATGTGGGCGTTTATGTTTATCTAATGGAATGGGTCTGGGTCCTTCGGGATCCTACCTTTATTCCCCGAAACAAGAATAAACCAGAGATAGATAAAAGGTTAAGCAAGCGCAAAACCGATGTTCGAAATTTTAAGGGTGAGGCCATAGTTAACGCATGTTGGCCTCTTCACCACCTGTTAGATGTAGCAACAACAGCACGGCTTAAACCGCATTGAAGATTTTGTGGTGTATTTTAGTAATTGTAGAATTAGATTCCTTGAAACTTGTTCAAGCTTTCAATGGCATAATCTAGGTGTGGAGTCCCTACGTGGTGAAATTACATATGAGGAGAATAATCTTAAACTATGAAAGGTGCCCTTGTGTGGTAGAACCAGGTCTTTCACCAGACGGTTCATCTTTCTTTTTATTAGTTGTTTTTTCTTGATAGATGTTGGCGCAAATAGGCACAAACCCCCTCTCTCCTTGGCTTGGTTCATTAACTTTCTTCTTCTTTATGGGTCGTAAACGTTTTCTTGCGCGTGCAGTTTTCTGTTCAACGTTTTTAACGCGTGCATTTTTTCAAAAGCGGACCGAGCTGGTTTTGTGAAGATTCTAGAAGCTTCCAGACGGACAGCTTTGGGAAGCTTCTAAAAGCTTTCGTATGATTTTGGGAAGCTTCTGACCAATTTTTTCTTTTTTCTTTTTTGGTTTTCTGGACGGCTTTTATTTGGTTTTTCCTTTTATAAATGCGTGACCTTTTTTCGTGAATATTTGCCCAAATTCATGACCTTTTCTAAAAAAAATGTGAACATTTTCCTTAAATTTATAAACCTTTTCACTTTTGTGAAGTTTTTTCCTTAGAAATATGTTTTTTAAAGCACGTGAACTTGTTTTTCACTTGCATGAATTTTTTTGAACTCGTGAACTTTTTCAAGGTCGGGATCTTTTTTGAATGGGAAGAAGTATTTTTTAACCCGTGAAATTTTTTGAGTTTGTGAACTTCTCTCAAATCCATGATTTTTCTTGAATCCCATGATTTTTTTAACTAGTGAACCTTTTCAAGTTTGTGAACATTTTTTAAAACCGTGTTTTCTTCTCGATTCTCGTGAACATTTTCTGAATGTTTGCTTTTTAAAGCATTTTTTCTTGAAAAGTCAACAGTGGACCAGCCAACCACGACCAGCGAACCAGGAAAACCGGTGTGCCCCGATCGAACGCTCGCATCCTTGTGTGGGCCGGCCCACGAGGAGGTGCCTGTAGGCGCTGGTTACCCTCCCTGGCGCTTAAAGCGCTTGGGAAGGGGTCTCTAGGGGAGGTGTGTGATAGCCTGGCTTAAAAGGGATGATAAACTACTCATATCATAAGGAATTCCTTGTTTTCCGGAAGCCCATTCAGATAGAACTCCAAAGTTAAGTGTGCTCAGCTTGGAGTAATTTCAGGATGGATGATCGACCGGAAAGTTGCTCCCGGTTGCGCACGAGTGAGGATAAAGTGCACAGAAAAGACTAGTATTGATCTGTGGGACCAGTCTAGATCCTGCCAGGAGTAACGACCACTGGCGGGAGTGTCCGCGGTGTTACAAGTTGGTATCAGAGCCGACCCTCGAGGTTACACCTATGTTTGCGGACAGGTGCGCAGTCATGTTGTGCACGACGTTTGTGACCCGTCATGGCACACATCATGACACATGTGCCGGACTAGATGCACAGACGTTTGTGCCAAGAGGGAACATTCCCGTGGCCCGACGAGGACGTAGGTTCCTCTGAGTGGGGGTGTATGTGATAGCCTAACTTAATAGGGATGATAGACTACTCATATCAATAAGGAATTCTTTTTTTCCGGAAGCCCATTCGGATAGAACTCCAAAGTTAAGCGTGCTCAGCTTGGAGTAATTTTAGGATGGGTGACCGACTGGAAAATTGCTCCCGGGTGTGCACGAGTGAGGACAAAGTGCGCAGAAAAGACTAGTATTGATCTGTGGGGCCAATCTAAATCCTGTGAGGAGTAACGACCACCGGCGGGTGTGTCCGGAGCGTTACAAGGTGCTTATAGCGAAATAAACCACTTATCTCTTAATCATCAATGCTTATTTGTGGAAGATAGACGTTTAATTAGACACACCTTAAGGTAGATTTTGAGGAAGCTTATAGATTTTTTTAAAAAAATTGTTATGATTAAGAAAGGAATTTCTTCTAAATACACTAGTTGGGTAACACAGACAATGGAGAAAGGAAAAGTAGCTGTCATGGTAAACGATCAGATTGGTCCTTTCTTTGAAACAAAAAAGGGCTAAGACAGGGAGATCCTTTCTCTCCTTTCCCTTTTTAATATAGCCATGTATATTCTCAATTTACTTCTAAAAGCTCAATATTTAGGATTGGTCCAGGGCTTAGCTCAGAAGTATGTTGATGGAGGTGTTAGCATGCTTTCAATATGCTGATGACATCGTTGTGCTAAGGCTTCTACTGCAGCAAGGTTTGCCCGGCTTCGGTGAGGGAAGGGCAAGGACGGCAATGCGCCTTTGACTTGCTTCGGCGCTAGTAGTCGTCGCTAGGTGGTCTATGGATCTAGATATATTTTTACTTCTGGTGTTCTTTGTACTACCTTGATAGTTGATGAATAGACTTAAAGTTATCCTCGCAAAAATATGCTGATGATATGATTTTTATGTTTCAAGATAATTTAGAGAGTGCTAGAAATGTGAAATTGATTCTTTGTTTGTTTGAGCAACTTTTGGGTTTGAAGGTCAATTTTCATAAAAGTGAAGTTTTATGTTTCGGGGAAGCTAGAGCTAAACAGGAGAGGATGCTGTGACAGGAAGAGGATAATGTTAAAAAAAATAATTTTGTGAAGTGGGAAGATGTCCGTGGACCAAAAGATATGGGAGGCTTGGGGTGTTGTACTTGGACATAATGAACATTTGTTTACTCTGTAAATGGATCTGGAAATTGGAAAATGAGAAGGGGGTGTGGTTGGACCTAGTGAGGAATAAATATCTAAGAAAGTGTACTCATAGGAATAGTAAAAGTAAACCTGGACATGCTCATTTCTGGCAGGGGCTTATGAAAGTTAAACATGTTTTCTTACAATATAGTAGGAAGATGGTGGGTAATGGTGAAAGGACTTTGTTTTGGAATGATGTTTGGTTAGGAGATAGGCCTTTAAGCTTGAAATTTCCTAGGCTATATTTGCTTACTTTTAGTGTTGCTAATGCCCTTTCTGAAGGCATGAGTAAGATTAGATTCGGAAGGATTCTTTGGGGGGAGACGACTGATATGTGGTATGAGTTAAAGGAAATTTGTAAGGATGTTGTGCTAACAAAACAAGGTGATACGTGTTCTTGGTTGCCAGATAAAACTGGCAAATTTACTGTTCGATCATTGTACTTGGTTTTAAAAACTAATCAGGTTCCATGGCCACATAGAAAGTTGTGGTATGTTAAAATCCCTTTGAACATTAAAGTGTTTCTTTTGTTGGTTTTCAAAAATAGTGTTCGAACTAGAGATAATTTGGCCAAACGAAACTATATGGGAAGGATGTAAGCTATAGCTTTTGTGATCATAATGAAATAGTAGAACATTTGTTTTGTACTTGTGTGGTTGCTAGATTTGGCGTGGTTAGGAGTGTGACTGGTAGCTGATATACCTTGTAGGATAGATGAATTTAGTGGCTGGATAGAGAGGTTTCCTAAACA